ATATTTAAAGACAGAATATTATCCTCTCTTAGCCCTGACTGGCCTAGAATTCAAGACCAGGCTGGCCTAAAACTCACAAAGATCTGCCTCCCTCTGCCTCCTGAGTGCTGGGATTAAAGGGTTGAATGGTCAGGCTCAGCCAAATAGAAACGTTTTTAAAGTGAAATGATACTATGTTCTTACCCATCAGTTAGTATTTCAGTACCAAAATTTTCATGATTGTAAAAGTGATAAAATGTTACTTTGTAGCTTTTAAAAATATCACCTCTCCACTTCTTTCTATGATTAGCTGATAATCTCTCTCTCTCTCTCTCTCTCTCTCACCACTGGATGTCACTTTGTTGCAAAAGAAGTCAATCCAAATTAACCTCAATAATTAGAATCTGATCTCTAAAACACTAACCCTAATACCTCAATATAAAAGTTTACCTGCAAAAGACAAAAATCGGCTCTTTCTTTTTCTAGTTAATAATACCTGGCTGAAATCGGCTTCAGATACTTTGAGGCTTCAAACATGAAACAAGAAGTACAGCAGGATTTCTAAGATCATCACAAGTCAAAACAAATCAGTGAAATTCATCATCATACAGTCAACATTTATATGAAAAGAAAGAAGGTAAGTGGCATGTAAAAGAGAAAACAGGCATTCTCAAATAATGAATGCTGCTTTTCTAACCGCAATCATATACTACTTTTAGCTTTATGAAAAAAGTATTCAGAAGCAAGAAAATCTGGGAAATGATTAGTTTTATTTTTTCTATCTCCATCCCAAAATGATTTTTTTGTCTTTGAGACAGGGTCTCCCAATAACCCTAGCTGGTCTGGAACTCACTATGTAAAGCAGGCTGGCCTTGAACTCAGTGGCCTGCCTCTGTCTCTGCCTCCAGAGGGCTGGGATTAAAGGGGTGAGCCACCAAGCCTAGCTACAAAATGGTTTTTAACAATTAAATGTTATTACTCTGTCAGTCACAAGTGGTAGTTATAGCCAATAGCATAAAATGAAGGCTAGGGACAGCATTTTTAGCTTCCAAATTTAGAATATTTGAATGTCTGAAGAGTCATTTTCTCTTATGCAATGTGAACAATTCACCTTTCTGATAAATATATGGATATTAATATACTGGTACACCTAGGGGCATGTTTCTCTCATTCAGATCTTCTTTCTTCCTTACAACCCACTACAAAGGGGACTTAGCAAATGAAAACATCAAACACACACACAAACACACACACACACACACACACACACACACACACACACACACACCTATGTCCCCACATCCAATCCTCCTGGGAAGAACTGCTGAATCACTGCCACAATGAGTCAAGTGTTACTGATGGACTGTACTACACCCTTTGAATTTTGCTGAAGTAGGAAAGTTATGAGCTCCTGATTTAGACGAATCATCTGGTTACATAAGTTCTATGATATCCTAGACTGTTTCCAAGAAAACAAAGCTTTTAAATTCTAGAAAAACATGCCTGAAAAGAATAAATTTCAAAAAAGATCAAGGTATGAACTGTCAACAGCTGTTTTACAAGCAAGAGGAGATCCCAGATGCTACTGCTAGGGCAAGGAAACATTTGTTCCTGAATTTTTGAGTTGGAAACAAAAACACTTTTTAAAAAATCCATTCTATTCCATTCCCATTCCCATTCCCATTCCATTCTATTCTTCTATTCATTTCACTGGGGATCGAAGCTAGGGCCTTGGTGAACATCTAGAAAAACTTACCTGTGCTACATTCCCAGCCTAAAAAAAAAGCAACATTATAGATGCTAAGTATAGTTGAAACGGGTCTAAAACTTAAGAATGAGTCAAATAAATTTGTATGAGTTGGCTTTGGAAAATACTGTGGGAAAATATCTAGCAACTCTATACAAAATTTAGAAATAAACCCCCTGGAGAGTTTGGATTTTCCAATTTATCTCTGCAAGGTTCTTTGCAAAATGTGATGTTTAAACATCAAGTTAAACAATCATAAAAATTTCAGCTCTAATTATATATTTTATTCTCCTAAAATAATATGTTTCACTCTATAGGAACCATTTCAGCAAGAATCACTTACTTTTTTCTGAGCAGTTGCGGCTCGCTGTAATTTCTCTTTAGCTAGATTATACTTTTCTTCTCTGTCCTTGATACGCTCATGAAGCTTATGTTTTTCTTCCAACCACTGTATCTGTTTTTCCTCCAATGTCCTGCCAGAGAATATGTACACAAAGCATAGAAGTCATAGAAATTCTTAGGATCAAATATCACAATTGTTCTCAAACTTTTTAAAAAAAATTTATTATTTTTATTTTATGTGTATGTGTGTATTGCCTGCATGTAGGTTAAGTGTACCCGTGTTGTGCAATGCCCACGGAGGTCAGAAGAGGCTGTCGGATCCCCTGGGACTGGAGTTACGGACAGTTGTTAGTTGCCATGTGTGCTGGGATTCGAATCCGGGTCTTCTGCAAGAACAACCAGTGCTCTAAACCGCTGAGCCATCTCTCCAGCGGTTCTCAAACTTTTTACCTGCCTGACCACATCCTTAACTTTTCCAACTGTATGGTCACATACTTCTTCACACTGCTATTACAGAGCAAGTTTTAGGAATCAGACACTATACTTGGAACATTTACTATCTTGCATAAAGAAGCATGTCTAGAGAATTGTAATCCCTTTAATCCCAGTACTCAGGAGGCAGAGGCAGTGGATCGCTGTGAAATTGAGGCCAGGTCAGCCTAGTCTCCATAGAGTTCCAGGCCAGATGGGCTACTGGAAGACCCTGTCTCAAAACAAAGAAACAAATAAACCAAAAACAAACCAAGAAACATGTCTAGTTATTGGTAGGATAAGTACTTAATAACCAGGTCTGAACTATGACAACCACCAAGCTATGAAAACTGTGCCTAATAAAGATGGTTAAAAATCAAGCCTGGCATCAAATCTTAATGCAGTATGTTTCTGTCTAGAGTAAATTTCATATAAATGTTTTAAGGTTTATTATTGTAACATAATTTAAAAGTACGCTGTATTTATTGATATGATTTTAAATATCATCACTATGGTCTAGTACAAATGAGAATAACAAAACCTGCTATGGCTAGATTACTTGCTTATTCAGTTGTACAGATCTTTAGCCAGATAATTCTATTAAGCTATATCCCCAGTCCCATTTTACCACATTTAAACAAAATTTTTTAGAAAATACAAGTCTTGAACATATTTTTGCTACTAGTTTACTGTCTACTGCTAATAAATTTCAAGGCCAAATGAATATAAATAAGTAAATAATCTCTCAAAAGGAAAGTCCAAGTCTAGTTCAAAGAAGTTGGTGTTTGTACACCACAGACACACACACAAATAGCAACCCACAACCAGATTACTCTGTTCTTTGGTATTCAGAATAAATTTGCAAAAGAATGTTCTGGTCTGCTCAATGAATAAAGGTTTTAACTTAAGGCTTTTCAGAATGCTGTGCTTAGGCAGCAGTTTAAAAGTCATTCTTCCAGGTCTAAATTTTTTAAAAATATTTTATTTTTATTTTATGTGTATGAGTGTTATGCCTGCATGTGCCATGTGGGTGCTGGGATTCAAACCCAGGTCTTCTGCAAGAACAGTCAGTATTCTTAACTGCTGAGCCATCTCTCCAGCCCCAGGTCTAAATTTTTAAAAAACAATTCAAGAGTCTCAAAAGTTCATTTTATATAAACAGAAAATACGTTACCTAAGGCCATGATATACAACAAAGGGTATTTATTAACAAAGCACATTCAATGTTTCAATCATCAATAAAATGTGCTTTATATAGTAGAGAGAAAACGTAGCTTGTACATAAAAAAAAAAAACCTCTACTTTTCAACTTCTAGCTGCACTTTTTCAGATTGGCTTCTCAAATTTCGGCATTCTTGTTTTAATCTCTCCACCATTTCCTTTAGCATTTGGTTTGAATTCAGCAAGTCATTCTCTGACTGTGCCAATGAAGTCACTTGGAGCTGCTGCTTTATATAGTAGAGAGAAAACGTAGCTTGTACATAAAAAAAAAAAACCTCTACTTTTCAACTTCTAGCTGCACTTTTTCAGATTGGCTTCTCAAATTTCGGCATTCTTGTTTTAATCTCTCCACCATTTCCTTTAGCATTTGGTTTGAATTCAGCAAGTCATTCTCTGACTGTGCCAATGAAGTCACTTGGAGCTGCAAACGACTGATTTGCTTAAAAAAAAAAAAAAAAGAGAAACAGGTACTAAGACATTCAGCAAGGTAGTAAGAAGCAGAAGACACTAAGCATTTCCCCTCAGGAATGTCCCTCCCACTGGCAGGCCCTCAAGGGATGACCTTTAAATGAGATAATACCATTTCTCACTATAACCAGAGACTCTCAATATCATATGTTCCTCAGATCAGATTCCTTTCTTTCATCCTCAAAAAAGCATGGCAGATGAGGTTTGGGGAGTGGGAGCTTTGGAAAGAATTTTATGAAAGAACAGGAGGAAAGAATTCAGTAGAGTCTGTCTCTTATTACTCAAGCCTTTCCCCATTTTTCTAAGAAGGGATTTTAAAAGCAAGTCAGTTGAGAAAATAGTTGAAGGAACTTGTTTTCCCCAAACACATAAGATCAGCTATCCTACCAGACAGTCTGCTCTCTGAGCAATCAGTGATTGCTGGGTATAAATGCTGGAAGAGTTACTCTTGTTTTTTTAAAAAGTTTCCAAGTAGTTTATATGTCCCAGTACTGACAGAATAAAGATGCTCTAGAAATCTAATAAATGCTATGGAATTTTTAGCCTCTAAAGCCATTTATCAAAGTCATAATCTTTACTCCATCCCAAATTTACCTTCAAGTGGAAGTACTTTTTCTTGGGTAAAGTTACATTTACATCCCTCGTAAGCCATTTCTATCAACTAATAAAGTTTTCCTTTTTCTTTCACTTTCTTTTACCTCTCTTCATTCATTCTGAGAGACCTTTCAGGGCAAACAGAATTAAGAGACAGAAATCTAAAGAACCCATTATGGGTCTGGGATGTAGCTCTGGTAAAGCACATTTGTCTAGTTACTATGCATAAAGGAACTGACTTTGAACCCCAGCACTACCAAAACAAAAAGCATCATGAAATTCAAGAGTCAAAAGAAACACGGTTTTGCTACATAGCTCAGGCTAGCCTCAAATTCATAGTTTTTCTGCTTCTACCTCTCAAGGGCTAGGATTATAGGCAAGCACTACCACACAAAGCAAGAACCATGATTCTTGATGCAATAAATTAGGTAAATGGGAAATAATCCCATTATATCCTGACGGTATCAAAGCCAAGTAAAACTATACATTGTCTATAGAGCGATTATTAGATGGATACAGTAAAACAGTATCTAATATTTCCACTTTAGAATGAATTTCTTCATGTAGAACTACCTTTTTTCTTTTTTCTTTTTTTTTTTACTGAAGTGATAAACATTAAATTTATATTACAGATTCCCAAATAAGTAACCTTCAAGGAGCTTAATATCACGCTATATCCATAGGATGGAAAAAATACAAAAAAAAAACCAAAAAAACCCCAATGCCAAAACAATATTATAGTAATATCTGTCAGAGAATCAACATTATGTCCTCCTAAGTAAGGTTCCATAACTGCACATACAAAGCAGTACCAGCTAATGTTCAAGTACAAATCCTAAATATGGGTTCTTCACCATATATCACTTATAGAGGAAAAGAAAAATATGAACTCAGAAACAAATACTCTTGTATTTTGCTCAACATACATTTCCTTTAAAATATAAATATCTTTCCATAAATAAACCTCTTAGATTTTATATGGACATAGGAAAAAAAAAAAAAACACTTCACGAAATGAATATAAAGTCACACAAGTAACTTTAAACTTCAGTAATATTTCTAAATTTTAAAATTCACAATAACAAAATATTGCTATGTTAATTATAACTTACAAAACTAACACAGTTCATAATGTATCAAAATAGTAAGATAAACAGCAAAAGTAAAGCAAGGCTACTAAATCAGAGAAACTGAAACATTTTATCTTACATAACAGCTTTATCATTGCTGTCAAGTGTGGTGACCAGATTACAGAATACAATATGGAATTGCAATAACTACATAAAACAGATTTAAAGAAGCACTCAAAGAAATAAAAGCACAATGTTTACTACAATCATACCTGTTTCAGTTCAGAATTTTCATTTTTTTCTTTCTCTGCATTTTCAGTATTTACAATTTGTTGTTGAAGTTTTAACCTAAAAACCACAACCAAAGATCATGAATTCATAGTTCATTTATTTCACTGTTCAAGACATTCATTCTACTGAAGGATCATCAGGCTTGGTGGCAAATGCTCTTACCTACTGAGCCATCTCTCTGGCTCCTCCTCTCTCAGTATTTTATTCATCTGCTCAATTAAATGTTTATTTTTCTTTTCTTGAGACAGGGTCTCATGTAGCATAGGCTGGCCTCCAACTCATTATGTAGCCATTATGTAGCCACATAGCCGAGGGAAGATGATTGTGAGCATCTATCCTTCTGCTGCACTTCCTTAAGTGCTAGGATTATTGGCAAGTGCACTACCTTACCTGGTTTTATGCAGGACAGGGGATTCATCCCAAAGCTTCATGTATGCTAGGCAAGTACTCAACCACTCTACATTCCCAGTCCCTCTTTTATTATATGTTTACGGATGCTGGTAACCTAGTCCTTTTAGTTACTGAGTTAAAGGATTCTTTCCACAAAAAGATGATGATGAAATCGTAAGAATTCAGAACACTTTGATAGTTTAGGGCCAGAATGAGAAAACTTAGGCTCTAAGTATATCCTTACACAGGTCAAGAACTTGGATAGACTTGGTCAATCATTGGAAAGATGACACCTAAAGTCAAGGCTTGAATGGTTTCTAAACAAGTTACATAAGTAGGAAGAAAAATAGTCTTCCATAAAGTTGAAACCAAAGAAATGGTAAAGAATATCTAAGTATCAGGAAAACATGAAACAAGAACACTATTAGTGTCGATCATAGGAGATACTATAGAGCATAGGCCTAACTACAATACTAAAACAGCACTGTTTAGAATCTAAAGCTACTGAGATTTCCTTTTCTTCTAGAAAAAAATTATTCTGTGATTTAGGAGAAGTGATTAAATTAAAAATAATTAAACAAAGTGGAAGAAAAAGAGAAGTATAAGGACTACCAGCTTATATCTTCCATGAGAGGAAAGTAACTAAGGGAAAGAAAAGGTATTTACGTCTTTGAAGTGCATGGTTCTAGGAGATGACAAGACCCAGGATATGGACAGGTGATAACAGATTAAAGATAAAGAATTCCTGGGTGAAGACACAATAAACTATACATCTAACCATGTTGTATAGTTCAACAATATGGAAGACTGATGGCAAGGGACAGAAAATAGAGAAATTTGAGCAAGATAGAAAAGACCTCAGTGTCTACTGAAAAGTTATCTGGTACAACAGATTTGAAGAAAAAAGAAAAAAGGGATGAACTAGATGTACCACATATCAGGGAAAACCCATTTTAAACAAACAATCAAATGGTCCAAAAACAAGAATAGAGTTTATAATTGCTGATTTGATCCCTGCTGTTTGAGAAGGGAAGAAAGAATAATTTCCACTTAAAGTGACTAGAGGTTCTATGTCCTTAGGAAAAAAAATCAGGATTCAGTGAGGGCCTTTAAAAAAATGTTGAAATGCAAAATATTTCTAAAATATTCTAGAATACAATAGGCAGTTATTAAAAGGAGACCTTTGCTGGGGATGTAGCTCAGGGATAGTAGAGGTGTTTGTGCAAGACTTGGGGTTGAGTCCCAGCACGGAGGAGGGGGAGGAAAGGGGGAAAGAGGTGAGAACAAGAGCTTTACTAAGTGGGTAGTGTGAACACACAAAGTGAAGGATGAGTAAATTAGAGAATGGTAAACCATAACTACCTTATAAACATAACTACCTTACACTTTAAATGTAATCATGGGGGCTCTGTCGTTAAAAGCACTAGCTGCTGTTGCAGGACGCAGGTTTGATTCCTAGCACCCATATGGCAGCTAACAAGCATCCGTTAACTCCAGTTCCAGGGAATATAACACCCTATTCTGGCCTCTGTGGGCTTTGCATACATGTGGGCACTTATGCACAAGCACACAAAACACTCATACACATAAAAATAAAATAAAAAATTAAGTTGATAATGGAAGTAGAAATAGGAGGTAGGATAGAGGGCCAAGTTACAACAGGAAATCTACTTGTAGAAAATGTTAACATTAAGATGGAACTATTCTACATTCTTTTCAACTGTGCTCCTACCAACTGTGATGATCAGGGTCTAGGTTTTCTAGGTCATACAGCTGTGATATGTGCTATTTCAACATTCAACAGATTTACTGAATGCCTTTAAGTGCTGAGCCCAGTTCTAATAGTTGTAGAGTGAATAAAAATAAATAAAATGAATTCATAGTAACGATGTGAATATTGAAAAGTCCTACAGAAAATCAAGTTGGACAAAATCCCACCATAGACATGGGAAGTAGGTAAGATACTCCAATCCTATCTGAGGAACTACTGGCAATAGATAGCTGCTGGGATGGGAGATTCAATCTCGTTTAAGGGTGAGACTCTTAGTAGGTTGATCAGGGTAGGGTGGATGAACCCACACCAAAAGGCATTTAGGGACACAAAGCTAACTCTACGGGCCTTGTGTGTGTGTGTGTGTGTGTGTGTGTGTGTGTGTGTGTGTGTGTGTGTGTACAAAAATGTTGTGGAGGCTTAGTAAGGGAGTGTGCAGATATGGTAAGGATCTAAATGTGATCAAAATATATTGAATGAAATATGCAAAAATCCAACAAAAAATTAATGAAAAAATAAAGACGGTGCCCCCATCCCTAACAGTCCAACAGTGCTATCTAACAGAAGGCTCTCTGGCGATGAAAATTTTCTATAATTTGAACCTTCCAATATGATAGGACACTAGCTACATGTTGCTACTTGGCCCTAAGAACTGAAAATTTAATTTAAATAGTGACATGTGGTAATACCATATTCAGTGGCAAAAGCTCTTGTGTAACCTCTTGCTTTCATTTCCATTACCAAGGGAAAGCAAAATAATATGATGAGAGAGGCTGTGTTTGTGGTATCTCTAATGCCCCAAATTCCTAGAACAAGCCTCTTCAGAATGACAATGGCCCTCTTTTTTTTTTTTTTTTTCCGTTTTTTTGAGACAGGGTCTCCCTGTAGCCCCAGCTTTCCTGGAACTCACTATGTAGACCAGGCTGGCCTTGAACTCAGAGATCTGCTTGCCTCTGCCTCCCTAGTGCTGGGATTAAACGGATGTGCCACCATGCCCAGCTGACAATGGCTCTCTTAATACCAACTTTCTGGAAAGCAAGTTTCCTGCTTGCCAGCACTGGAATTTGACTGGCCATTATTAACAAAGAAGTAATTTCCTGGAAAGGTAAGAGTCCACTGAATCAAAGCATTACTAGAGAAGCAGAGCCAGGACATAATGAGTGACACAAATCAGAGACAAAAGCAGACAACAAGAACTGGCTGCTTCTTCAAGTGCCACCTCCCTCACTTTTTGGCAATTCAAAATTTTAAAGAACTTGTTTAGGTGATCAATTACAAATTTAGTGTTTACTAATAAGATATTTTTCTCCAGATGGAATATAAACAGATAGGAGGATATATTAAATGCTTTTTTAAAAAGTCACTATCCACTACAGGTAGCCAAACAAACCTAAAGCAATGAAATAAAAATGAAAAAAAAAAAAAAACAGTGCTGATTTTAGAACAAGTAAAAGATCAATTATTTTAAAAACCACTACAGGTATATCTTAAGAGTTACATTCCCTTTCCTTTGCTAGTAATTGCTTTTATTTCTCCTTTTCATCTCTGATATCAAAGTGTATATCACCCGTGGCTTCGTTTCCACCACCACAGAGAAGCAGGCATAAATCCTGGTTTAGCCAGAGTGCCGGAGTCCCCTTGCCACAATGATAGGCCAGGGATGAGCATCTGAACCAGACCCAAGCCATTCTTTAGATTTTTCTAACCTAAAGTGGTAAGAACTCTGACTTCTTTGGTCTCAGCAGATAGTGCTGGCCTGAGTGAGAAAGCAGTAGAAAAGAAGCAAACAACAAGAAACAGAAGGAGGCTGGGGAGCCACTTCTATTTGGTCAAATTTGAAAGGTAGATCCAAGTGTCCAAGAAAACAGCACAACCTCCATCCTTTTTACAAGATGTACCAGTCAATGAAATCCCTTTATTTCCTTGCATGAGTTGGACTGTTGCCATAACCAAAGAATTGACTACATACTTTATTACATTTAACCAGCTATAATTTTTACATGGTTTAACTTTACAGGTAACTTTATGAACTTTACAAACTGAATATATGCAGTAAGGCAGCCTTCTGAACTACAAAATACTTTGTGTGGTACAGTATGTGTGCAGGGGTGCACAAATGTGTGAGTTCACTTGCTTAGGTATGCATGCACAGTTCAGAGGCTGAAATATCTGAAATATCTTCCTCAATGGCTTCTCCACCTTATTTTTGAAGGCAAGGTCTCATTCAATGAGAAACTTGTTGTTTTGGCTAGACTGGCTGGCCAGCAAGTCTCTGGATCCATCTGTCTCTGCTCCCCAGCACAGAGGTTACAGATATGTGTTAACAAGTTTGGCTTTTGATGTGGGTGATGGTGACCAAACTCAAGTGCTCATGCTGGTACAGCAAGCACTTTGCCATTGAGCCAACTCTCAAGCCCACAAAATAAATTTGAAAATATTACTCTCAGTACTATGACTGACTAGTGGTGAATATCACTTTAATGAAAACAAAAGACTAGTATATAATCATTTAAAGCACCTCTAAAGCATAAATTAATTATCTAGCAAATTAGCTAGTTAGCATATTGTGTTATAGTAAATAACGGATACTTTTTATTTTATGATTTATACTTTTCCCTACCAAGATCTTTTACTCAGATAGTCTCTGACCTATCACAGACTCTAAATAGGAGAAGCTACAATTATTATTATTGTAGTACCTAGTAAAAATAGACTTGGATAATGTAGCTGTGTTTACAAATCAAAAGTGACATCACAGTTGTAGAACATTCCCAAGGGGGTTGGGGAAATCATGCAAATCTTGGAATTAGTCCTTCTGTCAGATTTTATACTGGTTATGGTGTCCTTATTTTAAAATAAGTCTGGGGACAATCACACATTATAAATGATTTAGAAA